CTCATTAGCATTTAAAGCTACAGACACAAAAATGGCACGTCCTAAGGAAAGCTCATTGTGGGACTGGCTCGTAGTGGCTGAAATTCTGCACCAAGGCTGAATTTCGGGAAATAGACTTCAGATACAGTACTAGGGACCACTTAGGCCTATATAAAAGCATCTAAAAAGCAGCATGTCATGGGACCTTTAAGGCCCTGATGACATTTTTAAAACACGTCTCATCTTCTTAGAGCAGATGATGCAGTTTCGCCGGTTCTTTCCATCGTTTGCGCATGCTGTCTTTCACTTTATTTAGACTGACAGAAAACATCTCTTTTTGCCCTAGAAACACAAATTTGCATGTTTGAGAGCAGTATAATTGAATGTATTTTTTCAGGAAACGCTTTGTCTGAGAGTTCATTCACAGCTCTGTTGTGTCACGTTCTCTGTTAGTTCATGTCTGTGTTGTACATGCATGTATCTGTATGTTTCTTTGCTGGCTGTACTGTTTAAGTTGTTGCATGTTCTCGCCCACATCTCCTCCTCTCTCTCTCTAACCCACCCATCTTCAGGGAGCATGGAGCGCGTCCCGCAGACCGAGCTCCCCCTCATGGTCCCTTGACCCGACTGAGGGCTGGGACGGGCCAAAGAGCAGGCAGCCCTACAGCTCGGCCGCCTGGATAATCCGTGTGGTAAATACAGCCCAATATTACACCGCAGCCCTGCAGTGGGTGTTCAGCTAACACCGTGTCTGCAGCGAATGACAAAACTAAACTGTTCTCATTATAGTCAGTCAAGCTGACTACACTGGAAATAGCCTATTTGGAAAACCTTCAGTTGATGAACTCCTGTTTTGTTTTGTTTTGTTTTGTTTTGTTTTTTAGTTTTAATTTGTTTTGTTTATACATTTTCATATTTTTCATATTTGAACATTCATGTAATTATATGAATTATAAATAGCTATAAATGATCAATATTATTTATACAAATAAAAATGTAAATAATAAATTAAATATAAATGTATTTTGAATGTATAAATAATGTGCGTATATATGTATAAATACACTTTTTCCTTATACAAATTTGAATGATATTTGTCTAATTTAATTAATTAAATGATAAATAATTGTATAAATTATATATGTTATACAAGTAATTATTTAAATAATATATATTAAAACAAAGGTATATAGATATATTTTAAATGTATATAAATAATTAATTTGTATGTATATATATATATATATATATATATATATATATATAATTTATTAATATTGGTAAATAATTAAGAATATTAATTAATTAATAATATATTAAATAGTAAAATAAATATGAACATTTAAAAAATGTATTTAAATTAGAAATAAATAATTGTATAAATTAGTAATATCCGTCATTATATAAATGAATATATTGAATATTATAATGTATATACATAAAATTATATTATTATTTTATATATTTAAAAAATTCAAAATAGTCTATTATGTATACAGGTCATTAAATAAATAATTTATATTAAATATTAAAATGACTTTTAAATGTATTAAAAAAAAAAAGTTCAAAAGTTTGGGGATCAGTAAGATTTTTTATATTTTTACCGAAGTTTCTTGCAAATTGCTCATCAAGGCTGTATTTATTTGATCAAAAATACAGAAAAAAAACTGTTATTTTGTGAAATATTATTGCAATTTAAAATAACAGTTTCTATTTTAATATACCTTAAAATGTAATTTATTGCTGTGATGCAAAGCTGAATTTTTGGCATCATTTCTCCAGTCTTCAGTGTCACATGATCCTTCAGAAATTATTCTAATATGATGATTTATTATCAATGTTGGAAACAGTTGTGCTGCTTCATGTTTTTGGAACCTGTGATACTTTTTTCAGGATTTTTTTATGAATATATAAAAATAAAAAAAACAGCATTTATTCAAAATGGAAAACTTGTGTTACAATATACACTACTGTTCAAAAGTTTTGGAGTCAGTACATTTTTTTTCTTTCTTTTTTTGAAAGTAATGAATACTTTTATTCAGCAAGGATGTGTTTAATGGATAAAAAGTGATAGTAAAGACTCATATTGTTAGAAAAGATTTTAATTTGAAGTAAATGCTGTTCTTTTTAACTTTTTATTCATAAAAGAATCCAGAAAAAGTATCAGTTTCCAAAAAAAAACATGAAGCAGCACAACTGTTTATAACACTGATGATAAATCAAAGCATATTAGAATGATTTCTGAAGGATCATGTGACACTGAAGGCTGGAGTAATGAAGACAGCAATAAATTATATTTTTAAGTGTATTTAAACAGAAAACCAATATTAGAAATTGAAATAATATCTCACAATATTACAGTTTTTTCTGTATTTTTGATCAAATAAATACAGCCTTGATGAACACAAGAGACTCCATTAAAAAACATTAAATGTCTTACTGATCCCAAACTTTTGAACGGCAGTGTATATATAACATGGCTATTTTGAAATCAAGTTGATATGGTCTGATGTAATTCTGATCACGTCCAGTGTAGACATGGTGTCAAAATGTGAAAAAGCTAGACCTCTTTAACGAACCTTCCCCAGATATCCTCAGTCTCAACAGCAGGTGTTTGGCTTCCAAATAATTACACACAGCAAAATGTGTTGTTAAAGAAATGCTAAAATTGTGTTTATAGACTGCTAATGGTCATTTTAAAGCAATAGGAAGTAATGGGAATAAATAGTCATTTTCAAGGGCAGGAAGAGCTATAAAATGCCAGCTGTATGAAATATAAAGCACAGCAGACCCTTGACTTTTCACGCAGAGAATCGAGAGTGGCATTGAGAATGTAGTCATTACAATGCTCATGTTGGACAGCTTTGATTTGGATTTGGACTGAACAAATTCAGTGCTGCATTTTTCATGTCAGAAACAACCGCTAAGAGCACTAGCATGTTCTGTGGCTTCATAATACATCCTAACGGTTTTTTCCCCAGCATGCACAGTGCTTTTCTTTCCGTGACCCGGCTTGACTTGGGTTAATGAATGAAAATGAGTTGTGAATGTGTTGACGTTGTGAGCCAGAGCAGATGAGCTGCGTGTTGAGGGTCAGGGGCTCCGGGTCCATGTGGGCACGGGGCCAGACCAGATCCCGTCACATTATGATGTCTCGACAACGAGCAAGTTGGATAGTATTTGTCACATGTCAAGGGTCACTGGAAAGACAGCATCTACATTAAGAAGAAGAATCTTGGACTATGTAAATAAGAGTGTACATTAATATGGTGGTCATTTCTTTGTCTTTATAGGAGTGAGTGTTATATCAAACATTCACAATATATTTGCCGTGATTTAGCTGGAAATGAAATTTAGTTGGAGTTGAGATAAAACATTTTGTGCACAAAACCTGTGTGTGAACATTTTCACTCAAATCATGATTCACCTATAAGTTTTTACTTATTATAATTAAATTGAGATGGATTTAGTACGTACTAACTTGATTCCATTTTTTGTAAATTTTGAATATTTGTATAACTAATTATTAACATTAATTACACTAGAAATAGCATTTTTTCATATTTTTGGTTCATTTGATTAATTTATTCTTGTGCATTTTATCAATCATGTTTATAAAATTTAAGTAGAAATAATGGTTAAATTATATAAAATTATAAAATAATTTATTAATTTATATAAACTGAAATGGCGTGTGTGTGTGTATATATATATATAAGTATATGTGTGTGTGTGTGTGTGTGTATATATATATATATATATATATATATATATACATACAATATATATATCAGTCACAAAATAATATATATATATATACATACAGTATATATATTACAGTCATAAAATAATTTCTTGAAAATCTATATAAGATTCTGATGGATGGATGGATAGATGGATAGATAGAATCACTCTTTTAAATTCTTTTGGAACAAATAAATATTGACATATGCGACCCTGGACCACAAAAGCAGTCTTAAGTCGCGGGGGTATATTTGTAGCAATAGCCAACAATACATTGTATGGGTCAAAATTATCGATTTTTCTTTTATGACAAATATCATTAGGATATTAAGTAAAGATCACGTTCTATGAAGATATTTTGTAAATTTCCTACCATAAATATTAGAGCCCGACCGATATGGGTTTTTGGGGCCGATAACGATACCGATATTAGGGAGTTAAAAAAGGGCCGATATCGATATATCGGCCGATATTCTTTGTGTATATTATAGTACAATACCAGTCAAAAGTTTGGACACTTTCCCATTCGTGTGTTCAAATATTTGACTGGTTCTGTATATAGAATACAGTATATACATAAACAGAAGATATATACATAAACACATTTTTTGCAATGATCACTCAAATGTGGTGATCAAGCACTTATAATGATGTGACAGAGATACGTAATGGAGGCAGGGCATTTAACAATTTAACAATAAACTTTATTATCCAAAATGAGTCTGACGTCAGTGCACTGAACAGTAAAGTTGAAGTTTATTCAACTTTAATTCAATTCAAATCCATTCAACTTTATTCCGTTGAAGTTTATTTCACTTCGGAACATTCATTCACAGATTTGCGCTACTGTCTTCACACACAGACAAAACTTACTAGAAAAGTGTGAAGTAACATAATATACCTCTGTAAATAAATACAATATAAATTCACATCTCGCGCACTATAATGCCCTTTGAATGTAATGTGTATGTTCCCTTGGAACTGGAATCATGGCGGAATTTCATGTGAAGTCCACTTCGCAGGGCACTTACGGTCGAATAAGACCACTTGAATGCTGCTGCCTGAACAAGAGACCTCCTTACTGAAGTGAAAGTGTTGACTGGTGTCACTATCTCGCGAACTCGCCGGCGGATCTCCACCAAATTCGGGGGATCCCTTTAGCTCGAGGAGCCCTCTTGAATTCCTCCCCGCGTCGGTAGCCCCCTGGGATTGCTTGATCGGTCGGCGCCGGAACGCGAATTTAACCACCCGTAACTCCCGAACCCCCGGGGGCTATCAACGCGGGGGTGGTCTCATTCAAAAGCGGGCCTCTAGACGTACACTCGATTCGCGTTCGAGAGGGTTCCTCGAGCTGAAGGGATCCCCCGATTTTTGGTGCGGATTCGCTGCACCGTTACGGAGATATGGCCGCTCAAAGTTTCAATGGTTTTCCATAGACTTAAGCTTTAAAGCGTTTCATCCAGGTCGCCAGTAGCAAACAACCACTGCTGGACAAACTAAGTAATTACACCATTTCAAGCATTTTATCTGCGTTATATGTTCTGTAAAAGTAAACGTTCATATCGGCGGCAAATTCGTCGATACCGATATATCGGCGACAGGCTCATATCGGCCGATAATATCGGCAAAACGATATATCGGTCGGCCTCTAATAAATATATCAAGACTTAATTCTTGATTAGTAATATGCATAGCTAAGAACTTCATTTGGACAACTTTAAAGGCGATTTTCTCAGTATTTAGATTTTTTGCACCCTCAGATTCCAGATTTTCAAATAGTTGTATCTCGGCCAAATATTGTCCTATCCTAACAAACCATACATCAATGGAAAGTTTATTTATTCAACTTTTCAGATGATGCATACATACATAGATGTATATGACTGGTTTTGTGGTCCAGGGTCACATATATATTTAATATGGTACAGCAGAAGCTGAAAAATATTTTAACATTAAGCCCAGTCAGGTAGCATAAAACAAATGATGAAAGGAGCAATTAAAAAAACTATCAAGTGTGAGTGGCAGAGGCAGAAGTTGAAAGAAGGGCTGATGGTCCAGCGAGAGGAACAGTGGTTGTGAAGCTGAGGGAGGGAGGGAGTGTAATTCTTGGAAAGGGTTTTGATTGTGACAGTCAGAATGGCAGCCCCTGAGGAAAGGAAATGCGCTGACAGCGTAATAGAAGTGAAAACGCTGGAATAACACGGCCGAGGCCTCTCAACAGCCTGATGCTCCCTCAGATGCCATCTCACACCGAGTGTCACAGTCTCTGCAGAATTGGTGTCATTATGGGGAACGCTGCTCCGCTGTGACAGCTAGTTAAATTGAGGGAGAGCCGTGTTTGGTTTGGGTTGGTTATTTGATCACAGTGCATTAAAGTTGAGCTGGTCGGCCGTTCATTAAATATAAACACAAGGAGAAAGAAAACTTTGGACACTGGTTTCCTGCTCCAGTTGAAATTGCTTGGGTGCTGTCAGTGCAGAGGACTGAGTCGTCAGGAGTGTTTGAGGAAGATGCGATGAATCTGCTCGTTTGTCACATGACAGGAGAAGTAGTGGAAGGCTTCACCATTTGGAGCATCACATAATTTTCCTTTCTTTAATCAATCCATTAAATCACGCATCAGACGTATTTGTCAGCCTAGTAAAGTTCACGTTCATTGGAAAAACTGGAAATTTCAAAAACAATTAGACTTTTCAGAGTCGGAAATGTTATGCAAATTAATAGAAAAAATATTTTGTTTGTTTGGAAATATGTAAGAGCAAAATATTGGGGTCGGTATGTTTTTTTTTATGTTTTTGAAAGAAATCTGTTATACTTACCAAGGCTGCATTTATTTGACTAAACATACAGTGAAGACAGTAATATTGTGAAATATTATTTCAATTTAAGATAACTGTTTTCTATTTGAATATGTTTTCAAATGTAATTTATTTATATATACATATCAGCATCATTACTCCAGTCTCCAGTGTCACATGATCCTTCAGAAATCATTCTAATATGCTAATTTATTCTTTTTAATATTCAATTATTTTTGAAAACAGTTGTGTTGCTTAATACTTTTGTAGAAACAGTGATACTTTGTTTCAGCTTAAAAGAACAGTATTTATTTAAAATTGATTGATTGATTTATTATTATTTTTTGTAATAATGTTACTTTACTGTCATTTTTGATCAATTGACTGCTTTCTTGCTTAATAAAAGTGTATTCATTTCTTTCCTAAAAATCTTACTGACCCCAAACTTTTGAATGGTAGTGTTTAAAAAAAAAAATCCAGTGATGATAAACTATTGGAAAAGCCATGGAAATTCACAGAAATGTGTAGGATTTCAATGCTGTATGTGATCAGAAATGTGAAATTGTAAATGCAAAGTTGGTCAATAACATGCCATGCTGTTGAACATTTGTGTCATTTATCACAATTATAAAGCTGGTTACAGGAAGCTCCCAGAGGGAAAAGTAGAAGCGAATGCATAAATATAAATTCCTTTAGCCTCTTCTTTTTGATGGCCCTGATGGTGTCTCTCTGGTATCAGCAGGGCCGGGGATCTGGCTTCCCCAGCAGGAGACGGCCCAGGGGTTCGGGTGTCACGGGCCGGGGAGGACGAGGCCGGGCCAGAATGAAGAACGGAGTCCCTCCAATCCCAATACCGGGAGTACGTCTCATTATCTGACAGCTACTATACGGTTTGTTCTGATACGTGGATAAATTGCTGTACTGCTCTTCTGTTTATTTGTATGGTTTGTTTGCATCTCTGCAGGTGAGCATCATGGAACCCATTTGCACATTCAAGGAAGAGGACGAAAACGCCATGCACAATACAGTGGTGATTTTCTCTAGTGCAGACACGTTCACTATGAAGCAGGTAAATGTTTCTGAGTGCTCGTGCTGCTGCAGCTGTGTATGTGGAGTCTGGCTCTCTTACACTGGTGTTTGTGTGTTTTCTTTAGGATATGTGTGTGGTTTGTGGGAGTTTTGGACAGGGTATGGAGGGTCGACTCCTGGCCTGTGCTCAGTGTGGACAGTGTTACCACCCCTTCTGTGTTAACATAAAGGTGAGCACACTGAGCAGGATGAGGCCAGTACATCCTTCCTTTTTTTCAATACTGTTGGAGGTGTTGATGGTAGTGTTAATTATGACTGGCCAAGAAAAAAAAAAAAAAACCTTGCCAGACCTGGGAAGAAAATTAAATTACAATTTTTCCAAAAACCAGACTAAGCTACAAACCAAAATAGCACTGGAATTAAAATATAAAAAAAAAAATACATGCAAGGCAACACTGTATTGATATTATTTAAACATTGTGTTTGTTTTTAAACCTTAAATAATACATTTCTGCAAGTTTTTAAAATTAATACTTTTAAGAATGTATTAAATTTAACAAAAGTATAGAGTAAATGCATTTATAACATTATGAAAGATTTATATTTCAAATAAACGATGTTCTTTTAAACTTTTTATTCATCAGATTTCAAACTTATTTATCCGATTAATGAAAAAAAAAAAATAGCATGGTTTCCACAAAAAAATATTAAGCAGAAAAACATATTTTCAGTTTTCATTTTAACTTTAGTTTAATCCTAACAATTATAATTTGTTATATGCTTTGTCATTTTCATTCGTTTTTTTTATATTACGCTTTAAGTTCAATTTAGTTTTTATTGATTTCTAGTTCATTTGAATTTCAGTATTGTAACTTTAATGCTTCAACTTGATGCTGTTAAAGAAGTTGAGGTTTTTAAATGTTAATGACGTTTTTCATCTAATTTTTATTATATTTTATTTCGGCTTTATTTCAGTTAACGAAAATGTTTTAATAGTTTTTGTTTGTTTTAGTTAACAGTAATAACCCTGGTCTATGTGATTTTACAAGCAAGATAGAACCAATTTACTTACTTAAAGGGATCGTTCACCCAGAAATATCATCATTTTCTCAACCTTTTTATTTTACCTACAAAACTCAGTAGGGTACATTGTTGTTTTGGACCCCTTTGACTTTAATTTTATGGAATAAAAACATTTGAAACATCTTAAAAATATCTAAAATAATCCCTGTTTTGAAAAAATACGCTACTATGTTACTAAAAACGACTGTTTTTTCTTTTGTCTTCATATGCACTCTGCCTTGTGTTAATTGACATGTATTGCTCGTCAGATCACTAAGGTGGTGCTGAGTACAGGCTGGCGGTGTCTGGAGTGCACCGTGTGTGAGGCGTGCGGTCAGGCCAGCGATCCCGGCCGTCTGCTGCTCTGTGACGCCTGTGACATCAGCTACCACACCTACTGCTTAGACCCGCCCCTTCAGAACGTGCCCAATGGGAGCTGGAAATGCAAATGGTATTCCACATCGCATAAAATCAAATAATGAACATTTCTAGTGTTAATGCATCTGTCTGTTTTTCATTTACACTTTGCTTTAAATACATTTTTACAATAATATGTTCAAATAATCATACTTTTACCAAATCATTTGACTTCGACTGTGCTTTAACTGCTTTTTGTTCTTGTGGTTGATTTAAGAATACTTGCTAGTTACAATGGAGGACCTTTTGTTAACAAAAGGCTTTTTTTTTTTTCAAAGGATTTTATTTATGAGAATTATTTTACTTGTCATGTATTGATGTGAGCTGTTATTAGGGTGGCTGGAATGGCTGGAGTCGTGTGGTGTGTGATTAATGTCATTGTGCCGCTTTTGCGTCCCGCAGGTGTGTGTCCTGTACGCAGTGCGGCACCACAACTGCGGGTCTGAGGTGTGAGTGGCAGAATAATTACACTCAGTGTGCCCCTTGCGCCAGCCTGGCTTCATGCCCGCTGTGCCAGCAGGACTACAACGAGGAGGAGATCATCCTGCAGTGCCGCCAGTGTGACAGGTGAGCTGCGCTGTGCATGTACCTGCTGGGGCGCTTGGATTCCTTTCAGCTCCGCAAATCACTGCCATCAAACAAACTGGATACCTACTAGATACAGGAGATGCTGGCTCATGCCAAACAATATATATGAAACATATTTGATAATGTGTTCAAATAGTGGTTTGTAAGGAGTTACTATATTGAATAGGTTTTATTCCGTAGGTAGTCAATTTATCAAAAGTGACTGTAAAACATTTATAATGTTACACAAAATTTTAAACTTTCTATTAAAGAATCGTGATGAAGATTTTGGATGTATCACGGTTTCCACAACAATATTAAGCAGCGCAACTGTTTTCAACATTGATATTTCAGCTCCGCAAATCACTGCAATCAAACAAACTGGATATTACTAGATACAGGAGATGCTGGCTCATGCCAAACAATATATATGAAACATATTTGATAATGTGTTCAAATAGTGGTTCGTAAGGAGTTACTATATTGAATAGGTTTTATTCAGTAGGTAGTCAATTTATCAAAAATGACTGTAAAACATTTATAATGTTACACAAAATTTTAAACTTTCTATTAAAGAATCGTGATGAAGATTTTGGATGTATCACGGTTTCCACAACAATATTAAGCAGCGCAACTGTTTTCAACATTGATAATAATCAGAAATGTTTCTCGAGCAGCAAATCAGTATATTA